TAGTTTGCAGGCACTTTAATGATCTTATATCACCACTTGTTCTCTGACCTGTGATTTTTTATCTTTAAAGGCTTTTAAAATAGAAATTGTAGAATTTTAAAAGTTTCCTTGATTTTACATAGATTTTGTGTACCGTAGCCGAAAGAGGTTCTTAAATTCATATTTCCCTTTAAATAAAGGTTTGGACCTTAGGGATAATAATTACTACCTTTTTCATAATGTGAAATAAGATGTAGAAATGATGTTTAGGTGGGGCATTGAGACAACTGAGGAGGCTACTCAGACCCTGCTCTTATGTCTGCCTAGAGGACTGAGGAAATCAATATCTCTTTTCTGTAATCTCCTGGACCTAACAATTGGAAGCTCTGCCTTAAAAGTAGATAGATTTCAACAGTGTGTGAATCCTTTGAATGTTTTATTTTCTTTTTTCGTGTATGTATATATATATTTTAAGAAAGAGTTATAACTTTTATTAGATTCTCAAGGGAGTCTATATACCAAAGGAGGTTTAGAAGGAATGCTTTAAATTATGGAACTAAAACCAAATGAATGGCATATTTATTATTGTTTATTTGTTTTTGGTACGATTTTTTCCTTTTGATGACAAAGTTATAAATATGTTTCTTTTACAAAATTCAGACATTACATAGGTAGAATTAATGTAGAAAGTAAAAGTATGCTATATCCTATTTCTAGTTAATTTATACAAAATTAGGTGTAAATACAATTTTTCTTCTTACATACATCAACATTTTTTGCCTTTTCTTTCTCTAAAGTTTTATTTATAAAAGATTATAATATATATATACTACTCTGCAATTCTTTTATTACTTTGTTTATCTTAGAATTTTGCTTCATTACTTGTTGATCTACCACATTCTTTTTAACAAGTACAAAATATTTTATGGATCTACCATAATTTAGTTAACCTTCATTCTGTTACTGAACACATGAGTTGTTTCTAACTTTTTTTTGTGGGTGTATTCTTTTAAATTTAGGACTATTTCTATATAATAAATTTCTAGAAATAAAAATGCTCATCTAGGGTTATGAACACCTAATGGTTTAATAGATATTGTCAAAATGTCACCAAAAACTGAATCTATTTATACTTCTATATGTATAACGAAAATTTCTGAACATCCTTTCCAACAATGACTTAGTAAAGTGAATCTCCCCCAATCTGCAAGATGAAGAAAACATTTTGTGTTATCAAAATTTTCAAACATACATAAAAGTAGACAACAGAACATTTAATCTCCATATATCCATCACTGGACTCAACATTTATTAGATTTTTGCCACATTTCCTTTATTTGCCCTTTTTCTCTTTGCTGAAATTTTTCCTACCTTGCTCCCTCCATCTCCACTACTTTTTGAAGCAAATCCCAAACATTATGTTGTCTCACCCTGACATGCTTCAGTATTCATCTTTAAGAAAACATTCTTTTTAAAAATTTTTAGATTTTCAGTACATTTCAAGCATATATAACTTTCAAACATATGAAAGCAGCATAACTAGTATTATCTTTCATTAGAAAAAAACTCCTTTGGTGGCATTTAAAATTAAAAACAATTAAAAAATTTTCAATTATAGTTGGCATACAATATTATATTAGTTTCAGGTGTACAACATAGTGATTAGACATTTATGTAACTTAAGAAGTGATCACCCCAATAAATCTAGTACTCATCTGACACTATACCTAGTTATTACAATATTATTGACTATATTCCTTATGTAATAGTTTATATCTTTATGACTGTTTTGTAACTACCAATTTGTACTTCTTACCCGCTTCTCCCTTTTCATTCACCCCTCTAACCCCCCTCTCATCTGGTGACCATCACAATGTTCTTTCAATGTATCTATGTATCTCAGTGTACCTATGAGTTTATGTTTTTTTTTTTCTTTTAGATTCCACATGTACATGAAATTACATGGAATTTGTCCTTCTCTGTCTGACTTATTCCCCTCAGCACAGTACACTCTACGTCCATCCATGTTGTTGCAGATGGCAGAATTTTATTCTGTTTTATGGCCAAATAATATTCCGTTGCATATATGTACCACCTCTTCTTTATCCATTCATCCATTGATGGACACTCAGATTGTGGTGGCATGTATTTAAAGACCAATTCAAACTACATTCTTTTGACTTGGAAGGAGTACTTTATTGGCTTTAATATGGCCCATGTTCTGTTTAACGAGCATAACAAAATGAACCACCATCTATCCATCTGTCAGTTTTAACAATTAGCAACTCATAGTTGGTTTTGATATACTTCCGCCTTTTCCCCTTCACCTAACTGGCATATTTTGAAGCAAGTCCCATACATTATAGCATTTCATCTGTAAATATTTATATAAATATAAATAAAGAATTGCCTTTCAGTGGTAACTACAATGCTGCTGTTGTCACACACACACAAAATAATTCCTTAATATCATCAAATATCTGTGAACATTTCCGTATATAAACACGGTGTCATTATCACACCTAATAAAATTATCTATTGAACTAGTATCCAGCTCATAATTAGACTTCTTGAATGTATGAAAAAATGCCCTTTTCAAGTTTGTTTTTTAGAATCATTTTACATAGTACATGTGGTTATTGAGTCTCTCGGGTCTATTTAATTAATTAATTAATTAATCTATTTATCTACTTATTTATTTTATCTATCTATCTATCTATCTATCTATCTATCTATCTATCTATCTATCTATCTATCTATCTATCTATTGGGTCTATTTTAACTTAGAATT